GGAGAGATCAGGACACAGCGGGACATTTCCGAGTCTGACAGCATGAAACAGAACCTGATTGTGTCAGTGAAAGATAACGGACAGCCCTCTCTGTCTGCCACCTGTTCCATGTATTTACTGATTTCTGATAACTTGGCTGAGGTGCCAGAACTGAAGGACATTTCTTATGATGAGAAGAATTCCAAACTGACGTCTTATCTGATCATCGCGCTGGTGTCTGTGTCGACGTTTTTCCTGACCTTCATCATCATCATCCTGGGTGTGAGGTTTTGTCGCAGGAGAAAGCCCAGACTGTTGTTTGATGGAGCAGTTGCCATCCCCAGCGCTTATCTCCCTCCTAATTACGCCGATGTTGACGGCACAGGAACTTTACGCAGCACTTACAATTATGACGCCTACCTGACAACAGGTTCAAGAACCAGTGACTTTAAGTTCGTGTCATCTTACAATGACAACACACTGCCTGCTGACCAGACTATGAGGAAAAGTCCATCAGACTTTGCTGATGCCTTTGGAGATTGTGATTCTACTCCTGAGGTAGGGACACATTTTAGATTGTTCAACTTGCGTTCATAGTCCCGACGACGCCATTCTGCAATTTGCTTTATACTTCATTCGGTTGCATTGTTCTTTTCGGTGGTTTTTTGGTCTTCAACAATGTTCTCAAAAATTAAGAATGATCCCTGACGGATATACATTTCAGGTTTTGGCCATTTTGTTATTTGGGAACTTTGTCACATGTTGAAACTAAAGTCTGCCTGCTGACGTGATTGCCCTTTTTGCTCTAGTAAAGGAGCACCTTTAAATTCTGTCCTTTGTACTCTGTCCATGGTGCTGAACTCCGTTTGGTCTTGTGGTGCATTTTCAGGACTAATTCATCATCTTTCACAGATATATACTGTATATTTCTATTTTTGTTGTCATTTTCTCCTCTCTGAATTTTTTTTCTTTTGAATTTCTTTCCAAATTAAATTTTTACTAAAATATATAGATTTGCTACATTCTTCTAGTCTTTTTTAGAATATGCCTTTAGTTTTATGTGATGTAATTGTTTGGCATTGTTTCGGACTGATACTCAGATGGCTGGTGATGACTGGTTATTGATAATGGGACACAGTTTTAGAGCCCCATGAATATAAAATGTGAGCCTGCTTGTTTGTTCTGTTTGTTCTGCTTGAGTAGGCTTCCTTTGTGTGTAGTGGTCTTGAGTAATGTAGGCATTGCTATTAAATGCATTCTCGCTTAAACTGATATGGTATTCACTCGATGGTATGTTATCTTTTTTCTGGGCTTTTACATGATTTCATTTTTATTTTTCTTTGGTGGA